GTCATTAGCACCTCTAGTAATATATTTACTGAGAAAAATGTTGACGTGTTCAATACTTATTTTACCTGCTGTTTTATATTTAAGTCATATTTTGTTAGATGAATCATACATATTTACTAAAAAAAATAATATGTGTATTTTAGTCATCAGTTGCATCAGCTATAGAGAAACGTATGCCCCACCTGTAGTACTTGTAAGCGTATGGGTGAGTTATAAGACTAAAACGAAGAATACTAACTTCTGGTGATTTAATGTCAGTTTGCCCAGGTATGATTTAAATACCCTGATGTTCAGAGGATGTTTTTGTTTTGCACAGAAAAGCCGAAGTTGCCTGAAAACTACACACAGGAGACCTGGCAGAAGCTGAAAGAAGCAGTAGAGGCCATCCAGAACAGCACTTCAATCAAGTACAATTTAGAAGAACTTTACCAGGTCAGACCGGACGACCTCTGACAGGAAGCTGCCCACATGTATGATTTATAAACATAAATATATTTGTTTTGTCTGTCTCTTCAGGCCGTGGAAAACCTCTGCTCCCATAAGATCTCTGCCAAACTTTACAAACAGCTCAGGTCCGTGTGTGAAGACCACATCAAGGCACAGATCGATCAGTTCAGAGAATATCCTTTTCACTTTGAATCAATGAGCTTTAACTCTTACTGAAAGGTTCATGTATTTTCAGAATTTAAATTAAACATCTTGTGTTTTAGTTTTTTTGACTTAACCTTGCTCTCACGGATGCCCTGGACAGCGTGCTGTTCCTGAAGAAAATTGACAAGTGCTGGCAAGATCACTGCAGGCAAATGGTGAGTTCTGACAAATAATTTATTTGTTGCATTTACGTGTTAAGAGCCACTGCATTGTTTTAGTAGATTTAAAAACATCGGTAATTATGATTATATTGGCTGATTGTGGCCTAAATTAATATAAACCCTCCTGTTACGTTCATTTCTGAGGAGCAGCGATAATGTTCCTGGGTCAGTTTGACCCGGGGCATGTTTAATCATGCTATAGTGTCAGAAACCAAAAAAAAAATCCCACAAAACATTTTATATCTGATTATTAAGTCCATTACTAACAATTTCAATCAATATTTGTGAATTGATGGTTTTTGTTTTTTATTTCTGATAAAAGGGTCAATGAGGATAATTCACTTGTTTTCCTAAAAAAAAAAGGCATCGTTTTTTTTATGTCCCAATACAAAAACATACACACAAAAACAATGATTATTCATGAAATAGATTTTTTTAGAATTTTTTTTTTACATTTAGAATTTTTTTTTGAGGAGTGATGTTTATAATTTGAACTTGAGACACCTATTCTGTTCGGGGGTCAAATTGACCCGCTAATTAAAAACCAAGTCAAATGAGTCATGAAGATTTGTATTGAAAATAAACTTTACTGTCTAAATGAGCAGCAACCTCTGACTACCACAAACCTTCATCCGCTGTGACATTAGGGCCTGAAGCAGTGGAAGCTGCTCAACCCAAATTGTGCCACATTGCGTTTCCATTGACCATGAAAATGCGCAAATTAGAATTTCGAAAATTAATTTGCTCAATGGAAACACGTCAGTTT